TGGAGGGCAGAAATTTGCAATCAATATGTTTAATGTTTATAGAATCAGAAATGGCAGGGAGAATCCAGAGAAAAGCAAAGTTGTATTCCAAACAGTCGTTTTGTGGTAAGGATTTACTTCCAATTTGCCAGAGTACAAAGAGAAAAAAAATTATACCTAATCACTTTTTACATTGAACAGCTCAAAATTGAGCATATAAACTATGAAAAGTATTAAAGGTATGGTGGTACAGTGGTTAGCACTGTTGCCTCACAGCACCAGGGACCTGGGTTTGATTCCAGCCTTGGGTGACTGTCTGTGTGGAGTTTGCACATTCTCCCCGTGTCTGCGTGGGTTTCCTCTGGGCACTCTGCTTTCCTTCCACAGTCCAAAGATGTGCAGGTTAGGTGGATTGGCCATGCTAAATTGCCCGTAGTGTTCAGGGAGGTGTAGATTAGGTGGGTTATAGGGGGATGGATCTGGGTCGGATGCTCTGAGGTTCAGTGAGGACTTGTTGGGCCGAAGGGCCTGTTTCCACACTGTAGGGATTCTATGACTCTAAGTGATTTTCTTCACAGAGAAATTCAGTGGTGTAATTGTAACCCTTGCAGTGAAGCTGGTAAGTTTATTAAGAATGTGGTTGAGCTGCACTTTTGGATTACTGTAGGCAAAGCTTGTAATGCAATAGGTTTCTGTCAAACTTAACAACCTACGAGCATATGAATTAGGAGCAACAGTAAGCCACTCAGCCCATCAAACTACTCTGCCATTCAATAGGTTCATGACTGATCTGATTATTCCACATTCTTGTCTACCCTCCGAAAGCTTTCCCTTTCCACCTTCTTTGCTTATCATGAATCTGTCTACTTCTGCCTTAAAAATATTCAAGGGACCTGCTTCCACCACCCTTTCAGAAAGAGAGTTCCAAAGTTGCACAAAAAAAGTCTCCTTATGTACATTTTAAATGGGCAACCCATGTTTTCAAATATTGACCCTTAGTTCTAGATCCTCCATAAGAGGAAACACCCTTTCAACATCCATCCCATTAAGTCCCCTCAGGATCTTATACGTTTCAAATAAGTTGCCTCATACTCTTCTAAACTCCAGCAGATATAAGCCTTGACTGTCCAACTTTTCCTCCTAAAGATAACTTGCCCATTCCTGGTATTAGTATCTACCAAACCTTCTATCAACCTCTTTCAATGTGTATCAATCTTATTAAATAAGCAGATGAAGATTGTACATAGTACACCAGTGGTGGTCTCATCAATGCCCTGTATAACTGAAGCGTAACCTCCCTTCTTTCTCTATTCTGCTCGTAATAAGCAATAACATTCCATTAGCTTTCCTAATTACTCATTATAAGTGCACACTAACGTTTTGAAATTTTAATTGCTTTCCAAACATCAACCAGTCCTCAGTTCTGAGCGAGAGTCACTGGACCCAAAACTGTGATTTCTTTCCACAGATACTGCTAAACCTGCTGAGCTTTTCCAGAAATTTCTGTTTTTGTTTCTGATCAACTAGTCTTGTCCTGCTGGCTTTGCACTACATTAATTTGCAGAGGTAAACTCAAACACAATCCCGCTGCACTACAGCCATCTTCATGGCAATGTGACACATATGGCCTGTTCCCAGGTAGAAATTGAAATAAACTATCTTTCAGTTCCAAAGCTTTCTTTAATTCCAAAAAGCCACATAAGTAACATATCCTTTACAGGAAAAACTGCAGACATTATTTATCTAGTCTTTAGCTAAGTAAGCCCACTTCCATTTATAACTCTCACCCTTTAACTTTGAATTTATCCAATAAGCCTTTGAATTGTAAATACCTTAGGTTGGTGTGGTTTTCTGGCCTCTAAGTGTTTATCAGAGTTTGTCCCACTTAACTTGTTAAAATTTAATTCTCAAACTAAACAGCCATAAGAACATAAAAAATAAGAGCAAGAGTAGACCACTGAGTCTAATTTAACTAATTTACTGGAATTCTTTGAGGACATTATGAACGCAATGGAATGGGAAACCAGTGGATGTGGTGTATCTGGATTTCCAGAAGGCATTCGACAAGGTGCCTCCTCACAAAAGGCTGCTGCATTAGATAAAGGTGCACAGTGTTACGGGTAATCTAACAGCATGGATAGAAGACTGGTTAGTTAATAGAAAGCAAACAGTGAGGATAAACAAGTGTTCTTTTCTGGTTGGCTAGCAGTGTGCCTCAGGGATCAGTGTTTTGGGACCACAATTGTTTACAATTTACATAGATGATTTAGAATTGGGGACCAAGTGTAGCCTGTCAAAGTTCACAGATGATACTGAGTCATAGAGCAAAGTGTGCAGACGACATTCAAAGTTAAGGTTAAGTCAGTGGGCAAGGGTCTGGTAGATGGAGTACAACGTTGGTAAATGTGAGGTCTTCCATTTTGGTAGGAATAACAGCAAAATGGGCTATTATTTAAATGGAGAAAATTGTAGCATGTTGTTGTGCAGAGGGGCCTGAGTGTCCTTGTGCATGAATCACAAAATGTTGGTTTGCAAGTGCAGCAGCTAATTAAGAAGGTAAATGGAATACTGTCCTTCATTGCTAAAGGGATGGAGTTTAAAAATAGGGAGGTTATTTTGCAGCTGTATAGGGTGCTGGTGAGGCCACACCTAGAGTACTCTGTACAGTTTTGGTCTCCTTACATGAGAAAGGATATACTGGCACTGGAGGGGGTGCTGAGGAGGTTCACTAGGTTGATTCCAGAATTGATAGAGGAGAGCCTGAATAGATTGAGTCTATACTCATTGAAATCTAAAATTAGGGGAGATCTTATAGAAACATATAAAATAATGAAGGGAATAGATGAGCTAGAAGCAGGGACATTCTTTCCACTGGTGTGTGAAACTAGAACTAGGGGACATAGCCCCAAAATAAGGGGGAACAGATTTAGGACTGAGTTGAGGAGGAACTTCTTCACTCAAAGGGTTGTGAATCTGTGGAATTCCCTGCCCAGTGAAGCAGTTGAAGCTACCTTGTTGGATGATTGTAAGTCAAAGGTAGATAGGCTTTTGAACAGTAAAGGAATTAAGAGTAATGGTAAGTGGGCGGGTAAGTGGGGCTGAATGCACGGAAAGATCAGCCATGATCCTATTGAATGGCGTAGCAGGTTTGACGGGCCAGATGGCCTACTCCTGCTCCTATTTCTTATGTTCTTATGTCCCTCAAGCCTGCACTGCCATTCAGTAAGATCATGGCTGAACTGACTTTAGCCTTAACTCCACTGTCCTGTCTAGTCCCAATAATAAAAGCTAAATTAAGCAGATGCTGGAGATATGAAATAAAAACAGAGAATGCTGGAGAAATTCAGCAGGCCTATCAGCATCTGTAGAAAAAGGACTTAACATTTTGGGTCCATTGACTCTTCTTTGGAATAATTCTGAAGAAGAGTTTTGGACTGAGAATATTAACTGTTTTTCTGTCTACAGATGCTGTCAAACTTTCAGAACTTTCCAGCATTCTCTGTTTTTTACCCTCAACTCTCTTGTAAATCAAAATCTGTCTGACCCAGCTGTAACTACATCCAATAACCCTGCCTTCTCTCTTCACTGAGAAAGTGAATTCCAAACACTTGTGACCTTCTGAAAAATTTCTCATCTCCAACTGAAATGGGAGACCCCTTAGTTCCAGATTCCCCCATGAGAGGAAATATCCTCTCAGCATCTAGCCTGTCAAGCCCCCTCAGAATCATACATTTCAAAGAGATTGCCTTTCATTCTTCAGGAAAGATTGTATCAATGTTTTCAGATACAACATTGGAGAAAACATATGAACATTAGACATAGGTAATACCATATCATGATAGAATTTTGTGGGAAAACTAATTTCTCATGGACATAGCTAACAGATTTTCCATGCTGTTGACAGTAGTCAGTTGTGACAATTAAGCTTTAAGCTCTCAGGATTTGCAACAATTAAACATTGTGGCCAACTAAAACTACAGCTGAGTAACAGAGCTCTAAAGCTCCTATTGTTTTAAAAAACAATGCACTCGCCCACATACTGGGAGCAACACCAGAGATTCACAAGCATCTTTTTAAACGCTACACAAAATGGTCCCGTGGGGCCAGTTACTTCAGTTGGCTGGATGGTTGATGCACAATGGAGATTGATGCCAACAGGGTGGGTTCAATTCCCATACCAACTAAGGTTACTGTGGTAATCTTCTCAAACCACCTTCAGTCATCTCTCTCTAATGATGGTGCAGCCCATTGATGTGGCAAGACAATGACAACCTCACATGAAATAGTGCTGAATTGGAGGCTTTTGTTTTTAATATTGGGCATTTAAAACTACTTTGGGGGCATAAATAAGGTGCACGACAAGGGTCCTTTTCCCTACTGTGGGGGTGCTCAAACTAGGAGGCATATTTTTAAGGTGATAGGAGAAAAATTTTAAGAGGACATGAGGGGCATTTTTTTTACACCGAGCATGGCTCATGTGTGGAATGAACTGCTGAACTGCCAGACAATGTGCTGGATACAGGTACAGTTACAACATTTAAAAGACATTTGGATAAGTTCATGAACAGGAAAGGTTTGGAAGCAAATGGGCCAAGCACAAGCAGGTGGGACTTGTTTAGTTGGAAACATGGTCAGTGTAGACTGGTTGGATCGAAGGGTTTGTTTCCATGCTGTATGGCTCTATGACTCAATGTTTGGTAATGCCAAGGCAATTTATAACTCAGTGAGAATCCCAGTTCTGAAGACGGGTCACTGGACCTGAACTCAGCTTTCTCTCCACAGATGCTGCCTGACCTGCTGGATTTCAATGCATTTTCTTGAGTTTATTCAAGCAAGATTCGTGCAAGATGCACAGTACTGTTTATGTCTATATTAAATCCGAAAAGAGAATGGCGATAAATTGCCCTTCATTCATACTATTCCGAAGCTACGTTCTCATTCCGTTTAGTTAAACGGAATCTAAGTACCCAAACTGCAGTCAGCCTCACGGCGACCGTAACAATCCTGCCCATTGTTATTACCTCGAATATTTAAAGCAGTTGCTGGCGCTTTGTTTTCTCTCTGTTCTCCGGTACCCGTTGCCAAGTAACCTAAAAAAAACACACGCACAAGAAAAATTCGATGATCAGACATCTTCTTTGGAAATTAGATGAAAGATGACGAGCTCTAAAGACAGACTGGCAATTATGCACGGCACTGAATATTACACAATAAAGGACACGCCTGTTCATACTGACACACACAAAAACGTTGCAAAATGACAAGCAGTCAGAAAATGTGATAAATCCTCATCCAGTGACTGGTCCACCTACTATTGTTGTTCCCAATCGCCTGTAATTTGGACTGGGAGCGTATTTTGATGAATTAAATGAAACAGCTACTGACCAAGCCCAGTATAACCAGTCAACGTGGTCAATGGGAAAGGCACTTGGCCCCACGGGGAGCTTCGTGTTTTATTTCCGAGCTAGAAATCCTCGGGCACCTGTGGGTTTGCTGGAGACTTGTTTCTGGAAGCAACAGTCCTGGAAGAGGATGAGCCCGATGATGTTCACCGCCAGCCCAAGGGCTCCGACGATCAGCACCAGCTCCACGTCGTCGATCCTCTGCGGCCTGATGAGGCGGATGATGGCCTCGGCCAAGATGGTGAAGGTGAGGGCGGCCAGGAAGACGGCGTTGGCCAGCGCGCCCACTACCTCGGCCCTGGCGAAGCCGTACGTGTTCCGGGGGTGCCTCCGGATCTTGCCGAGGCTGGCCGCCACCAGGCCGATCACCAGCGAGATGAGGTCGGACAGCATGTTGAAGGAGTCGGACACCAGCGCCAGGGAGTTGCCCAAGTGCCCGACCACCAGCTCGACCACGAAGAAGCCAGCGGTGATCACCAACATGAAGATGAGGCGGCCGTTCCTGCACTTGGATCTGCCCATTGCCGGTGACTGGAAGGTAGGCGGTCACCACTACCACACACAGACACAGAGACGGACACACACACAGACGGAGACATAGACAGAGACAGACAGATGTGGCGTCTCTCCAAAACAAACATCACCCCTGTACGGCAAGTCAAGTGTCACCGGTTATTGATTGTGTTTGTAGGAGGGTGTTGCCTTACATCTGCAGCCTACCCCCTCATCCAATGGATCAACAAATGTCTCCCTTCGTTAAAACGGTGCTGAGTAAGGTGCAAATCTTATTTCAAGCGCCACGCCTCGAGACCGGAATTGAGGCAAATCTTTTGGGTATTGTTTTTTGTTTGTATTCGACTGGTTATGGCTGTATTTCATCCCTAAACTTCCAATTACTGTGAGAAATCCCAATCTAGACTCGAAACGTTAGCTTGCTTTCTATCCACGGATGCTGCCTGACCCGCTGTAATGTCCAACATTTTCTGTTTTCAATACAGATTTCCAGCATCTGCAGTAATTTGCTCCCAACCTTTATATCTGTGCTCTTAGAGATGCTGTCAGTGGAATAACGTTGATTTTTTTTTTACTTATCAAAACGGTCAGTATAATGTGCTAACTGCTAGAGCTAACGTTGATGTATCAATTAAATGATACAACGAAACATTGATACAATGATGAAAAGTATGAGCAGCACACGTTCAGCAGGTCCGCTTACATCCTCGGAAAGTGAAACGGAGTTCATGCGGACGGGGTAATGTTCGAGCAAGTTGGAGGCAGCTCTAGAGGCTAGGCGACCAACAACAAGGCAGACCAAAACCATCAAGCTAGTGAGCTGACTTGTCCCTTTCCCTGAGAGAGCGCTTTCATAGGACCAGGCTGCTGTTAATGTAGGCAGACACCTTAGTGAAGGCAGGAAGTCAATTGAACTCGTCAAGAATGGGAAAGAAGCATCACAGTGCTTCTTAACCAGGAGACTAGGGTTCAAGTGTCATTTGCTCCAGAGGTGTGTAAAAACACCTCTGAGCAGCTTGGTTAGAAAATACATAACGCTTTTCAATCCCGATCAGGCATCTTTTGAGGGAGAGAAGTCGTCCAAGACTAGTATTTTAAACCTAAGAGTAAGAGCAATTATGTGGGCATGAAGTCTGGCAATTAGGTTAAACGATGTGTCAGTAGGGATATAGCGGCAGACATTTAAGGGAATATTTCAGAATACGTGGAACAGACACATTCCAACGAGGAAGAAAATTCCAAGGGATATACAGTTAACTAAAAAAACAAGTTTAAAATATAGCATCAAACATAAAGATAAAACATCTAGTTACACAAAGGGAAGCGGCAAATGAATTAAATACACATGATGCACTGGTCTTTACAATAGGGGACACAAGTAACGTCCCCCAAAAAAGCAATAAATCAGGAAATGGAATGGAGATAGAGCCTCAATGCAATATTGGAAGTGATACTCCACAAATTGTTGGAGCTATGGACTGACAAAACCCTGAATGATGATGGCTTTCATCCTGGAATCTTCAAAGAAGGACCAGTGCATGGTAGATGCATGGTATTAAATTTTCAAAATTCTGTTGATTTGGGGGATTAAATTGAAAAAAAGCAAAAGTAACTGATTTATTCCAAAAGGGAGAGACAGAAAGCAAGAAACTACAAGCCAGTTGTACTTAACATCAATCATAGGAAAGATGTTAGAATCTATTATCATGGATAATATTTTTTAATTATAGACAACATTTTAAAAACATTAAGGTAATCAGGCAGAGTTAACATGATTTTGTGAAAGGGATAACATGTTGAGGCATAACACCATTTGTAAGATCTTTTGACCTTCCTGATTATAAAGTTTGTGTCAGGATGCTGTCTTCACTTCACCTGACGAAGGGGCAGCACTCTAAAAGTTTGTGATTTCAAATAAACCTAGTGGACTATAGCCTGGTGTCATGTGACTTTTGACCATGTTATACTAATTTATTGGAGTTCTTTGAATAAATAACATGTACTGTGGATATAGACATGAATGTGGATGATGAAGTGATAATGGAATGTTATTACTTGAACAGTCAATTTTGGAGTTACTTGAAACCCTTTTGTTCAGTTTGCTGTTTACAGCGGTTGGCTGGCCACACTCAAAGTGAGAGAATTCTGTTTTCTTTGTCCTGTTTTCTTCTGAACTGGCTTGCTGGATAGCAGGCTTCCACCAAAGAAAGAACACCTTTTTACCTGGGTACAGGGGAGTGACTGGTGGGTGGTTCTTCAACAGTGACCTTCACAGCAAATTAGTACTTGAACCCACATGAATGTCAGTTCACTAACACACACACACACACAAAACAGGGTGAACAATTTATATATAATATTTCTGGAAGAGCACAAGTCGTACCTTTCTGCTGAGAGGGGCAAGATAGTCAACCCCCTTATTATTCCCCCCCCCAACCCCGTTACATCTCTCTCTCTCTCTCTCTCATCTTTTCCTGACACTTAACAGGTGTGAGATTCCTTAGGCCCCTCACAGGACTTTGTCAGACACCACTGAATTTTGATTTGCAGTGTTTTATTAACAGTTCCCTCTTTAAGAAAATATACATACTTCTGCACTTAAAAGTTAAAAATGTCCATAGAACTTTGAAGTTCTGATCATCATCATCATACTCAGAAGGTGACAAATGTTTGGAATTCTTTCTCCCAGAGTACTGCAGAAACCTAGATATTAATTTCGAAGACTGACAAATTTCTTTTACAAATGACACCAAGGGGTATGGGGATAGAGCAGGAATATGGCATTGAGGAGGATGATCAGCTATTATTAAGAATGGTGGACCAGGCTCAAATAGCTTACCCCTGCTCCTAACTCATTTGTTATTAAAACACATTACAGCTGAGGAAGTACTTTCTGAAATGTAGTATCAGGACAATGTGTTATCAGAATTATTAATTTTGAGTATAATCGATTTGACCTTTTTGAAAGAGCACTTGACAAAGGACTCTAGTTCCAACAGGGAAGAATGCTGCATCTGCAAAGAACACAAGTTGCTTGACTGAGCCAAAATCTACTATACTCTTAGAAAAAGATCACAAGGCTCAGTTGATGAGTGCAATAATCAACTGGACCCGAACACAGACAGTCTCTATCTTTGGCAGTCCATCAAGGTTGAGGATAAGTTTCTTCCACTTCGATGTTGTGGGTCCTCGGGTAACTAGATAGTCCAATACCAGATCCCCACACCCTGCCATTGGTGGGTCAGATAGCATTTGCTGAAACTGGTGGGTGAGATGCTTGGCTTTTCACACACCCCTTCTATTGTTTGTACTTAGCCTCCAGCTGGGCTTGTCAGTGATGCCCAAGACAGTTGTCAACTTTGTGGCTGCTTCTTTTCCAGGTTGGGCAGTCTTGGTGTATTTTTTCAAAAAGGCTTTGAGGAAAATTTTGAAATGTTTTTTCTGTCCTCCTGTAAACTGTTTACCATGACAAAGCTCACAATAGTCCTGTATCAAGTATGGGGATGACATGGCCCATTCAACCCCAGTGTGACCATAAACACTTGTCTCAAAACTGGGGTTGTTTGCCTCAGTGAGGACACTGATATTGGAGTCAGACTGTTTCAGAACAAGTGCTAAAGTCATACCAGACATGAAACATTAAGAAACAAAAATACTGCTGATGCTGGAATCCAAGGTAGGCAAACAGGAGGCTGGAAGAACACAGCAAGTCAGGAGCATCTGGAGGAAAGGAGAAGTCAACATTTCGGGTATTATCTTTCCTCAGTCCTGAAGAAGGGTAATACCCAAAACATTGACTTCTCCTTTCCTCCAGATGCTGCCTGGCTTGCTGTGTTCTTCGAGGCTCCTGTTTGAAACATTAACTCTGTTTTTCTTTCTCCAGAGATGCTGCCAGACCTGCTGAGTTTCGCCAGTATTCTTTGTTTGTTTTAAATTAAGAGTCTTCCGTTTAAGATAGAAAGTAAAAGAAATTTTTCCTCTCAGAGAATCAATAGTTTATCGAAAACTGCTCTCCGTAGTGCAGTGGAAGTAGGGTCATTGAATGTGCTTAAGGCCAAATTAAATATATGCTTTACTGACAAGGGAGTCAAAAGGGTATGGGGACAGACAGGAAAGTAAAGGCTACAGTCAGATTATCAATGATCTTATCAAATGGCAGAGCAGGCTCAAGGGACTGAAGGACCTGCTCTCACTGTTGGTACTTCTGGCCAAGTTAGATCCCAGCGTGAAATCTGGCATGATAGATCATATGTTTTACTTTCATTGACATCAGTGTCAATCACTGAAATATAGTCACACGAGCTGCAGAGTTTCTTTAACAACAGAAGTTTATTACACAAAAAACTAAGCTGTAAATTTAGAACACTGTCAGAAAGTTCTTAAAAAACACAGCAAAACAAAGGTTCAACCAGCTTTCCAACACTATCTGTTGCAGAGACTCAAGTCTGGAAAAATTACCCCTTGACATTAAATCTTTTTAAAGTTGAATGATCTGATTCTCCCCAAATTATTTTCGATGAACTGTGGAGTCCTCTTCCATGAATACTCTCAAATCAGAGATCTTAAATTATTCCCAGCCTTTAATTACTTGCAGATTTCCAAACCAAGAGTGTTTGGTTGGATTTTTCAGAGACTAAAAACTTCTCTGTTGGGCCAACGTATTCTCCAAGGAGAGAAAACTAAATTACTTCTGACTGCAGTGAGGTCTCCTCCGAACTGCTCCTAAAACCTACCAGTCCTTCCAGTTTTCGAAAATAAAGTCAATCTTTGATTATTCTAAACTACAAACAAGCTAAACAATCATTATCTGTCAAAGGCCACCACAGGATAAGCAAATTTTCATTAATGTGACGGAGGTCTGCACCCATTTGCTTTCTGAGCAATACTGGATTAGGTCACATTTTACTGAAGAACTCTCTGACCTTGTTTAGTTGCAAGGAATTACAGTAACAGCCAATTTAGAATTTTCAATCAGGTTTGCAGAATGGCGCACCCTACATGTACTGGAAACTACATATATTAATATACAGGGCCCTGCTTTTCTAAAAAAAAAAACCATTGCCCTAATGTGTTATGTCAATCATTAATAACTACGGTATTCTCCAATCCATAATTTTCTTGTACAGTGTTAATGTTGTTGCCCCGCTTTATTGCTATTTTCGCAAATTGCCCTGAAGAGTATAAAATGAAAAGTTTCAACAGGATGTGCCTCCCTTCAGCGACAGAACATATTTTATACCAACAAGGTAATTTAATGGTAGCCACTTATTTCAGCCTGTCTTAAAGGAGTGAAATTATAGAATAGTTTAGTAATTTATTGTCACTTATATTTTTACAAAAAATACAGTGAAAAGTGTTTAAGTCGCCATACTCCGGCAGCTATAACAGAAATCATACATAAAAAATGTAAAAATTAAGACAAAGTCTGTCTTCAAGGTAAAAACAGGATCTACATTCTCCGCCACCGCAGAAAGCCAACATCAAAGCCACCGAATCCAGGGCCGTTGGAATCTTGGGCCAGACCCACCACAATACTAGGACACAGCCACAATGCCAATGAGTGTAGCATGCTGCCTTCACTGCTGCAATCGCCTCCGAAACATCCTCCTTCTACCAGCTGGCCAACTCTGAAACCGTCACGTTGCTGCCAACTCCAGAACTCGGGCCCACAAGCCGCCTGAGGCTGCTACCATCAATAGTCTCCCTCTGGACGATGCTCTTCACCAGCCGATCACCAGAAGGTAAAAGTAGAAGCAAAAATTTAAAGAAAAACAAATAAATGCGGGGAAACCCAGAACTCGCCACCCCCGTCTTGTAAATTATTCTAAAACAGTATTAAAAATGTTGCTTTTATTTTATGGATTAAAAGAACATCTAATTTTATTCTGTATACTTTCCGGAAGATGCTTTAAAATGCACAGAGTTCATGACCGAATTCCGAACTAGGAAATACCCAGAAGTATACTGCTACACGAGCCAGTGACTGATTCATTGTCGATTGTTGGAAAACACCCATCTAGTTCACTAAAGTCCTTTGGGGGAGGTAGCTGCCGTCCTTACCCAGTCTGGCCTACATGTGACTCCAGACCAACAGCAATGTGGTTGACTCTTAACTACCCTCTGGGCAATTAAGAATGGTCAACAAATGCTGGTCTTGCCAGTAACACTAACATCCAGTAAATTAATATAAAGTCCTCACAACAGTCCCGCTATACAAGGGATTGATCTGGTGAACCTCCAGTGCATTCCCCTCTGCTGATAAACTATACACAGTACTCAAGGTGAGACATCACCAAGGGTTTATGCAATTGTAGCAAGACATGTTACTCCTGTAACAAACAGAGAATGCTGCAGAAACTCAGCCAGTCTGGCAACATAGTTTAATCAGACTCAAAATGTTAACTCTTTTTTCACAGATGGTGCCAGACCTGCTGAGTTTTTCCAGCATTCCGTTAAAGATTTCCAGCGACTGCAGTATTCTACCTTCATTTGAATGTTTTCACCCATACTCAAATTCCCTTGAATTCAAAGCCAATATACCACTTCCCTTGCTAAATGCTTGCTGCACCTCCATGCTAACTTTAAGCAACTTATGGATGAGGACACCTCATCCCTTTGGGCACTCATACTCCCCAACTTTTCATCATTTTAGAAATATTCTGCCTTTTGGTTTTTTTTTCCCATCAAAGTGAATATCTCCAGATCTATTCAAATTTCATCTGTTGTGTTCTAGTCCATTCACTTCACCTGTCTGTGCCTTCTTGAAACCCTATATGCTCCTCATGACATGTATTTCCACACAGTATGGTGTGTCATCAGCAAATTTGGAAGTATTACAGCTAGTCCCCATATCCAAACCATTTATATTGATTGTGAACTGTTGTAGACAAAGCACTGACCCTTGTGGTACTTGACATCCAGTAACACCACCAACGATGTGTCTCCCACTGTCAACATCCTAGCAGTTACTATTGACGAGAAGCTGAATTGGATTAGCCACATAAATACAGTGGTTACCAGAGCAGGTTAGAGGCTAGGAAATATGCCTTTTTAAAAACTTGCTGACTGAAAGCTTGTCCGCCATCTCTAATGGTACAAGTCAGCAATATGATGGAATACTCTCTACATGTTTGGTTGGATGCTGCTCCATAACTCAAGAAACCCCATACCATTCAGGACAAGCAAGCTGCTTGATTAGCACCTATCCACAGCCTTCATAATTCACTCCCATCTCCAATGATGCACAGCAGCAGTGTGTACCATTTACCAATTATTGCACTTCAATAACTCACCCATCTTGGAATTCCCTTCCTAACAGAACCATGTACTTTCCTGCATCCCAAGGACTGCAGTGGCTCAAGCAGACATCTCACCGCAACTTTCTCAAGGACACTTAGGGATGGGCAATAAATGTTAGCTGAGTCAGCAAGGTACGTCTCATGAAAGAGTTTTTTTAAAAAAAGTGAGGTTAACAATAAATATGGTGAATAACATCAAAAATATTGAATACAAAGTACTCCAGATGGCATTACAATCACTGAAACACTCAACAGATCCAGCAACGGCAATGGTGAGAGAAATGGCATTAAATTCTTAGGTTGATAAAACATCTTAAATCTGAGCCGTTAACAGTTTCTCTTGCTACAATTGCTGCCAGACGTTTTGGGTATTTCCAGCATTTCAGTTTTAGTTAGAGTTTCAGCATTGCTGTATAATACTGAAGCATATCTTACCCTCAATTACATTTGCATCACCTTGAAATAAAGGCCAATATTTTATTCGCTCTTGGACCTTTCTATCAACCTGTAGTGATGTGTACTTCTACCCCATTATGCACCACTTTTCTAACATATGACCTGAGAAATATTCCAATTCCTTTATGGATTCATAGCTTATGACTTTGCCACATTGAACTCCATTTGTCAGTTTTTCCTATTTATTTAATTATTCAGTATCCTTTGTAACCATATGCACTACATACTATGCCTCCCAGATTAGCATCATATGCAATTTTTTTATTTACAACTCCCTAGTTCTTCATTCATGAAAAATTTAGGCCAACACCAAAATTATTGGTGTAATGGACAGTGAACAAGGTTCTCAGAGTACAAAGGGACTTTTGATCAGATGGGCCAATGGGCTGAGTGGCAGAAGGAGTTCCATTTAGATAAACGAAGGCAAATCAGGATCGGACTTACACACAATAGTAGGGTCCTGCAGAGTGTTACCAAACAAAGAGACCTTGGGGTGCAGGTTCATTGTTCCTTTAAAGTAGCGTCACAGGTAGACAACATTGTGAAGGTGATAGGAACACTTGCCTTCAGCGCATTGAATATAGGAGTTGGAATGTCACGTATCGGCTGTACAAGACATTGGGTAAGTCATTTTTGGAATACTGTGTTCAATTCTGGTCTCCCTGTTATAGGAAGGATGCTATTAAACATGAAAGGGTTAAAAAAGATTTACAAGGATTTTGCTGGGATTGGTGGGTTTGAGCTATAGGGAAAGGCAGAACTGACTGAGATTTCTTTTCCTGGAGCGTCAAAGGTTGAGGGGATAGAGGTTTATAAAATCATGAGGGGAATGGATGAGGTGATTAGCCAAGGTCTTTTTTCCAGGGTAAGAGAATCCAAAACTAGAGGGCACAGATTTAAGCTGAGAGGGGACAAGATATAAGAAGGGACCTAGAGGTGCAACTTTTTCCACACAGAGTGGCGTGTGTATGGAATGAGCTGCCAGAGCAAGTGGTAGGGGCTAGTACAATTACAGCATTTAAAAGGCATCTTGATGGGTACATGAATAGAAAGGATTTAAAGGGATACGGGCCAAATGCTGGCAAATGGGTCTAGATTAACTTAGGATACATGGTCGGCATTTACAAGTTTAACTGAAAGGTCTGTTTCTATACTGTACAACTCTATGACTCCATTGCACAGCTCTCTGTAAAACACAATTGGAAGCAAATAACCGATCAGAATATGTATCCATTAATCTCTCTCCTACCTCCCAGTCAATTTCCAATCCATGTTGCAATGTTGCCTCTGTTTTAGTTTGCTTTTCAGGGCAAGTTATACAGAATTGAGTTAGCAGAGATACCAGTTAGATTGCTCTTTTAAAATGCTGAAATTTTGTTTATTTTATTATACAATTAATTCAAACAACTGAGTCTAGACTAAGTTGTTGTAGCCAAGTATGTGGATTCATTGCAAAATTTCTACAAGAAATGATCATTTTCTGTAAACGAGAGTCAAGCCAGTGTTTTATAGGAACATTACAACTAAGTGGCACAAGGAGCTTGCGGGCACATGAACTCTACTTGGTAGTTCTCAATCACTATCATCTAGAAGGAAAAGGGCAGTAGATATATAGGATCACCATGTGCAAATTCCCCTCCAAAACACTCACCATCCTGACTTGGAAATATATCGCCATTCCCTCAACGCAACTAGGCCAATATTCCAGAAGATTCACCCTAATGGCATTGTGGGTCTACCTGTACTAAATGGACTGCAACAGTTCAAGGCAGCAGCTCACCACCATCTTCTGAAGGGCACCTAGCGACTGACACCAGCCAGCAACACCCACGACCTACAAAAGCATTTAAAAGTGACGACACAACTACCTTCCCTACAAAAGGATAGTTGGTTGAGCCAGACCTCAGGCAATCAGAAAAGTAAGGGGAAAGAGGGGAGAATCTCAATGTTGCAAGTCTTCCTCTGCCCATCTAAATTCAGTCCAAAGCTGCTGACTCTCTCACCCACCACACAGACCTTGCCAACAGAATGGTCACTGCTACCAAACGCCTCTTTGCTCTGTTTCTGGATTTTCAGTCACTGGTTCTCCCAGACATGCGGAACATCAGCAACTGACATCACCTCACCCATTTTTGCATTTGTGATAATCACTCTGGTGAGACAGATCAAATTACAGAAATACAAGCAAAATACTGCTGATATTGGGAATCTGAAACAAAAAGCTGGAGAAACTTCGGAGGTCTGGCAGCGTCTGTTTTTCTCTGCACAGAGAAAATGTTTTGAGTCAGTATGGCTGTCCTTCGGAACCTGCTGAGTTTCTCCAGCCTTCACTGTGCTTGTTTCAATGCATGGGAAAGTGGGTTGGTAGAGATAATGATAGAGTTAGTCATTACACTGTTTAAACAACACACAAAGAGAAATATATTCATTAAAGGTTTATTTCTATTGAGTAAGATATCTGGAACCTATTTGTAAGCCATAGCCCTAGGAGTTTTGTTTTAATTGATGATACAGTTTATTTTCATAACTAGATAAAAATACACAAAAAAGGTGAAAGTAACTATAATTTTTCATCTTATAAAAACAGGTAAGGTCAAAGACATGATATTTTTTTCACACTTGGTTTCCTAATTAGTAGCTGCGGCCAAAAAGTACATAGTGTTGGGCAGGCTCCTTGCCACTGATGCATATGGCTCCAGGTGGTAGTTCACGAAGAGGTTTGAAAGGAATGCAGAGACTCTTGGCTCCCATAGATGGTGCACCAGGCTCAATATCCTGATCCCTGCAGCATGAAATGTACAAAAACAAATGAAACACTAAATCAAACCTTCACCCCCACCCCACACCTTCATTATCCTAAACAGGTGAAAAATAGCAGAAGAGGACCTTGCAGATTCAAAAAGCTAAACCAAAAAGAAAAGGAATTTAGACAGCATCGTTCAATAAAGTCATTGCTGAAGTATATTTATTAATTTAAGATAAAGAAACAGGGCAAGCAATTTGAACACAGCAATGTTTCACAAACAGCAATGCGATAACGACCAGATAATCTGTTTTATGGTCATAATGGTTGAGAGATAAATATTGATTAGGTCACTGGGAGAAATCACTTGCTCTTTTCAAATATTGCTATGAAATTTGTTACTCAACCAAAGAGGGCAGACAGGGCAATGACATGTAGTTGTTTTGAATATTGTTTGAACAATATTCTGCTCAAGCTACCTCATGTTTCAGCTAATAGTTAAATTGAAGTGAAAACATAAGCAAATGCTTTAAAAGAGACGTCCATAAATTAATTCAAGGTGAGCTTTCCTCTGCACTCGTCAGACATGATTCAAATACTGGGATGGCAGCAATGAATAAAGAACTGAGATTACAACTCTGGCATTTATTATTACCTTGTTGTTGTTTTCTTGATCCAATCTTCACATTCTATGTTACCACAAAAAGGAATCTGCACAATCTGAAATGAGTGAGACAACAATATAAAATTCTAAACTTAGAACCAGCAGTTATATTTCTGTGGGAAATGTAGTGCTGGAGGACAGAATCATGTGCTGCTAACCAGCACAGTACAAGATTTGCCCTGCGCATAATGCTTCTAATCACTACGACACGTGGACTTCTCTCTCCTCCACTCTCCCCACCACCAACTACCCCAACCATTTCCCATGTCACCCATACATTTCAGTAATTAATAATTTAATGCTAATTGGTAGGAACTTTGTTCAACACGTCAGAAGACTGCACTGAAACACCATAAACATTTAATACAAAGCTCTTGTATCTAAGGAAATGGCGAAAGAAAATCCCATAACATTACAATTACAACATTTAAAAGGCATCTGGATGGGTACATGAATAGGAAGGATTTAGAGGGATCTGGGCCAAATTCTGTCGATTAGGACTAGATTCATTTAGGATATTTGGTTGGCGTGGACAACTTGGACTGAAGGGTCTGTTTCCGTGCTGCACATCTCTATGACTCTATTAGTTTTATCTATATTCACATCTAAATTGATAGGTACTATCTAACTGTGCCAAGTATTGGACATGAATGGCTTAAAGCTAACATAAGTAGAAGGCAATTAACTGAGATCATACCTTTCCTGAATCCAACTCTTGCTGAAATTGTTCCATTGTGTCAGCCAAAACCATATGCTCCTTTAGATCCTGAGCAGCTCTTATTCATAGGAAGAAAAATAATAAATGATGAAAAAGTAGCATAATCTCTACTGCAGAACATGATAGCTAAATTACTAATAGATTACTCTCCCTACTGCACGGATTTCGCAGTTCATTAGTCTAGTGCAGTGTTGGTCTCCACATTGAAAGAAGAATCTTGCACCACACCGGGATTCTGGAAAGAGGGAGGTGGCCTATGCTGAGAGGCTGAGTAAATTGGGCCTATATTTTCAGACATTTAGAAGAGTGACAGATGATCTCATTGAAACTATGCAATAATGCACAGATTGACCTGATAAATGCTGAGAGAGAGATTCCCTAATCAGTGGAAACAAAAACAAACACAGGGCATGGTTTCAGACAAAGGGGTTCATCATTTAGGACTCATTTGAGGATATTATTTCATTCAGAGCTGTGAATCTTTGGAATTTAGTACCCAAAAGGGTTGTGGATGTTCCATCATTGAATATATTTGAGGCCAGAATTCAGATATTATTGACCTGTGATGGAGTAAAAGGGATATGAGCAGCAGGCAGGAATAAGGATTTAAAGTTCAAGATCATTCACGATTGAATGCATGGCAGAGTAGTCTTGAAAGGGCATATCGTGTACTGCTGCTCCTATTTCTTGCGTTGTGTTTTTGCTGTTAATAGTGCAAAACAGTGAACAAAACAGACAGTGCAATCAATGGCAAAATAACATCAGGTACTGCTGGGATCAGTGCTAGGACCCCAACTATTCACTATATAAATTAATTCAGATAAAGAAACTAAATGAAATCTCCAAGTTTGCAGATGACACAAAGCTATGTAAGATAGTAAACCATAACGGAGGGATTAGTGCAATCTTACTGTGCTGCATGGCTCACTCCTATACCAAACATAAACCTAGTGGGGCTTGGGAGGTTGATTTTTTTGATCTTGCTGAGTCATAGATCCCTTTACACAGGGTAGAGGTTGAACTGATTAAGCAGTATATTTTCCTCGTCATAGGACCATGTCCAAAAGAAGCTCCTCTCCATAGGGGCTGTACCAATTTCTCAGGAGGTGGGCGGTTCCAAAGAAAGTGGTGCAAATTTGAAACACATTCATGCTTATAGGAGTTTACTGAAAAAGGCACATGGTGCATTTTCTGAGGTAATGCTCCACCAATCGGAGTCCACTTGCCGATTTTCAGCATTGTCTTCTCGTACAGCATAAAATACTGTTTCTTTTCATATCGCCTTTCTAGAAAATGTCCTCCGAGTGCAAGAAAAAGTGTATATCTTTATTCAGCGATAGTCACTGGGTAGTACTGAGCTTGAGGAATTGTTCAAATAGACATTGACTGTGAATCCTAAAAGAGGAATTTTCACTGAGAATATGGAATACCGGTTATAAAGATTGTTTTGGATTTCCTCCAATAAATTCTTCAGCTTCATCTCAGCATCAACCTCTGCTATTGTCAGTTTGTTGATAGTATCTCGTCTGACAGCGACAAACTGATTATTTTTCATGTCCCGTGGTCCAACCTCTAGCCTGACTGGTACACCCTAAAATTGGAACAAATTAAAGAATATTAGTTCCATTCGAATGAAAATAATAAAGGATAATCCTAGCTATAATATAATGCACTGAAGCTGGATCAGATGCTGCAACTGTTGTTCGCAAATCTTTAATAAACTTGGAAGATTCAGAGTGCGATAATAAAGGATATCCAGAATACTATATGTCAGAGTAGAATTTTAAAGGAACACCCAATAGACAAATGCTGTAAGAGCTATAGACATCATTATATTTACTGTGGTTGGTGATAACATTCCGACCTCGGCAGATTCTCCTTAAATAAGGATATCATAAAGTACTATTAGACCAGATGAATTGCTGGCTATATTAATGGAGCAAATATTTTTTGTTATTTAAACCCACAAAACTGAAGAGTTAAAGCAATTCTGAGCATCCTTGAATCAAACCAGTTTTAGAGATTCATACACAGTATGAAGTAAAGTAATTGTACTAAATAATGCAATTCATTTTGTCCTGCAGTAATCAGGACAAACCTAAGAACGTCAAATTTCAAAGGAAGCAACAATTTTTACTACATGAGAAAAGGGTGCTGATTTGGTTAGCAAGTTTAGTCTGGCTGGCTGAGGCACTGAGAATTCTATTGTCTCTCATACTTTTGTTTAATTTAAAAAAGATGCAATATCTGGGCAAATTGCTTTGGCCTGCAATGCACAGATTCCTGTATATATGAAAAACTTTTTGTCAATATGGTATAAATTGTTACTCCTTTTGAAATTTGACATCCTTGCACTGCCCTGAGAAGTACAAGATAAAATGCTTACATTCAGCAACATTCAAGTTCTACACACCTAAGCAACTAGTGGGAAAAAGCAAAAATACTGTTGATGCTGGAGATCTGGAGTAAAAACAAAGTACCGGAGAAACTCAGCAAGTCTGGTAACATCTGTTGATACAGGAAAAAGAGTTAACATCGAGTCCAAAATGACTTCTTGAGAACTATTTGTGTAATTCAATTTATTCCAATTACAAGGAAAAACAGGCTCTATGAAATACAGGTGTTGAAGACCAAGATAACATCAATGAGACCAGTTTCAAAATTTCCAAACTCTGCTGCAGAGGATATGGAAATAATTTTGGTCCCAGAAACGGAATAAACATCCAACTTCTCTCTATAAAAAGCAAATATCTACTTCTTGTATACCATTCATAACCTCTATCCTTTGCACCATGGGCACAGTAATTTCTCTCTGCCAAATAAAACTAACCAAGGAGGGTTCATGCATTTCAATAGAAATATAAAGTAGCCACTTACTTTCAACTCCCAGTGGTTGAACTTCCAGCCAGGTGAGTAGTTGTCCCTCAAGTCAGCCCGAGCACGAATTCCAACATTGGTCAACCGGTCAAGATACTGGCTACACTTTTTTATTAAACAGTCTTTGTCTTCTTCCAAGAGTGTGTTTGTGATTCCACATGGTATTATTATAACCTATAAAATAAGCAATTAAATAAAACTAAATAAGCAATTATAATATAATCATGAAACACATTGAATAAGGACTCCTTAATTGCTTTGGTAAGTTCTGTGCTAATAAAAAAGTAAGAGACACTAGTACTGGAAAATGGAACTTTTTTTATTTATGGTACCTAGAAATACCATCATTTATCTACAGATCAGGTACATTAGATGCAAAACTGTGTATATGCAGTTAGCTAGTTCTCCAGATGACCAAACTGTATAATAAATTGAGTCTCAGCCAGACTGATTCAATGACATCATTGAAAATGTTACTTTGTTAAGATAGAACAAATCAAAGTATAGAATGAATAATGCATTATTCTATTAACCTGTAGCTGTGGATTTTTAAATGTATGGTATGATTGTGAATATTTCTTAGAACAAAGGTAACAGTTTAAAAATTCAGCTGCACCCAGTTGAATAACATTGTATCCTTTTGTATTCACTTTAAAATCATTGATGCATCTTTGACTGGGACCAGCAAACAATAATTAATCTTGTCACAATCAAAGCCAGGGTTTCAATCTTAACCCGGGAGTCTCCCTGAAGTTAACCTTTGAATGAGTTCATAACATCAACATCCTGCTATTAAAAGGATCATTGATTTCAGACATCACATGAAAAATAAAGTTCCCTTCAAGTTACTGCATATTCCAATTCTCTGTGAGCAATGCAATGGGAGATCTGCTGTCACAGCACATATACATTGGAAATCTCAATTTTGGTGTTATCGCACAAGCCTTTCCACGTAATTTCCTTCCAAGTAATTTATAACTTTAGTCATAAGCAATTCATCTATGAATGAGCAATTGAAACTTGCTCCCACAATCCATTTTGGAGTGTAGGAACAGTAAGTTAAAAAAGTAGTTTCTTGCTTTGAAAAGAATCCAGAGGCTAATTCACATATATAACTGAGTTTAAAAATCCCTTTTCCAATTTTCCATTGTCAAGTGGTCATGGAATAAACATAATTTGTTCCCTCTGGCCCATAACTATACTTTATTTATTCTCAGTTTTAACATTAGTATAAAAAATTAAATACCAAAATATTTCAAGCCTATTTCACACTATTTATTAAAAGAATACTATAATTTAGAACCCGATTTCACAACAATGACAACCTCAAATTGTGAACGGAGTCATAAACAATTTCACCACTTTACAAATTTTCATCTTGCAGAAACTTTGCTTTCAAAAAAAAAAAAACACACACATACCTGTACACAAGCAACTCTTGGAGGCAATACCAGACCTTGGTTGTCGCCATGGACCATTGTCATAACCCCAATAGTTCGAGTTGTAAGCCCCCAGGAGTTCTGATATGCAAACTGCTTCTCTCCAGGTTTCTTTGGATCTTCAAACACAATCTCAAACATCTTAGAAAAATTCTGTCCCAAATGGTGCGAAGTTGCTCCCTACAATTTCAAAACTACAATTTCAATATTGGGAAAAGTTAATCCCATACAAGTTTACAGCCTCCAAGAACTCATGAAACAAGTGAATGAATTTTAACACTCAAAAACAGGCAGTTTAATTTTACGTCAGACGTTAAAATTTTTTAAATCTGAAACCTCAACCATATCCAGGTTTAATAATAGGACATTAATTGGACAGCAAATCTGCACCCAAGATGTAGGTTGGCTATTCAATATTTCAATGAGCTCTGATTTAACCCATTTTGCAGGGTTAACAGCGGTCACCTGCATTTCACTAATCCGAGTAAACCACGTAGTTGAGAAGGCCCTCTTGGACTCCCTACCGCTGGATCGGGAGGCCTGGGTTTAAGACTCACCTGCTCCAGAGGTGCATAATAACATCTCTGAACAGGTTTTATTTAAAAAAAAAACAAGTTGAAGGGAAAGGAGAAAAATGCCAAGGAGAAGATAAGCACATTTTCAGCAATGTTATAGGCCAGCAGAAGCATGAAGGCTTCTCGCTCCCATCTTAGGTTTTCCGCCCCTGCCCCAGTCTCAGGCTATGACCCCACTGAGTTGTGGATAGGACTGACACAACCTAGAGAACTGTCTGCCAGAGTGGAGCCAAGTCTGGCTGATTGTTAGACAAGGAACCCCTCAAGTACAAATGTTGGATGCTGTGGAATTGAAATTTGACAATTTGGGAAATGCTGCCTGAGACACTCACCCGCAACCTCAGTAACCTATACCTGCTCAAATCAGAAAAGTGCCTCTTTAAACTGTTTGGATATGTACCTAAAGTCCCATAAACTGCAAGGCAACAGACCAAGAGATTAAGCTGTATGGTGGAGTCTGCAGGCAAGGCCTCTGTTTATGATTAATATTCAGACTGAAGTCTGTGAAATCCACCCTCGTCCTTTTCCCTAGCTAGACCCCAAATATATTCCCACTTATTGCACAGATTTAGTCACCCTTCTTCTATTTCAGTTCACCACTCAGCAAAATTGAAACTGGTGAAAGATTCAATGGCTCTAGTGGTGGCACAGTGGTTAGCACTGCTGCCTCAGTGCCAGGGACCTGGGTTCTATTCCAGCCTTGGTGAACTGTGTCCCCTTTGCACATTCTCCCTATGTGTCTGCGTGAGTTTTCTCCAAGTGCTCCGGTTTCCTCCTACAGTCCAACGATGTGCACATTAGGTGGATTGGCTATGCTAAATTTCACCGTAGTGTCCAGTGCTATGTGGATTAGCCATTGTAGATGCGGGGTTATGGGGATAAAGTGGGGGGCTCGGTCTGAGGGTCAGTGCAGGCTCGATGGGCCAAACCGCCTTTTTCTGTACTGTAGGGATTCTGTGATTCGAAAAAGTATGAAAATAATTCGATTTTCCAAAACCCCAAGGAAGAAATTTTTGCATCGCCTTTCAACTGTTATACTTACGTAATGAAAAATCAAGTGATTTTCAGTCAAGATAAAAACTTTAGGTAGCAATATCTTGGGTACTGTATATCATCAACTTTAAAAATGCATATACCTGGATGGCTCTTCCACTGGCTGATACAAAGGCCTCAACCGTAGTTGTATAGTCACCACCTGCAAACTTTTCTTTTTCAGTCTTTCTTCCTTTTACCACAGGGATTGCAAGTAGATCCTCATATACTTGTGCATACAGTTCCAGAATTTGCAAAACCTGCAATGGCAGATATTATTTGACGAATGTTGAAAGAACACCAATATGCAGTTTGTAATACAGGCATACTTGACAACACCGGCATTAATGTTAATACAAAGAATCCAATTTATTTTTAAAAATCCCCTCATTGAAATAACAAATTTAGATGCTCCAAAATAAACTAAAATAGTGGAAGTCCAAATTATTTTTCTTTTCAGAAGCTAACCAAAGTAGCCTTTTGGTGTTGTACTATCTAGGAGTAATGACACTGATACCAATAAGTGAAAAAAATGTCAGAAATGCTGATCGCTTACAAGCTTATTCTTTCAACCAGATAGATTCACAGTCAATAAAGGCAATGGAATTGTCATAACGAGAGCTGAATTAATGAGTTAACAAGATTTCTAATTGACAATCTAAAGGGCAATAAACAATTACTGACTTTTGGATTCCAACTGCAATAGTGCAAAATTGAGGACTCTTGTGGTGCAGTGACAGTGTTCCTACCTCTGAGCTAGGAGATCTGGATTCAAATCCCACCTGCCCCAGAACTGTGTAATAACATCTCTGAACAGGGTTATGAGAAAATATTGAGTAAAACTGAGATTTGGCTCCATCTTGTGGTCTGCTGGAACATTTTCTTAAATACAAAATCATACAGAAATGGAAGCTACATAACACATGCTCCCAACTCTAAAAGGAAATACCACTTTTTTTCCTCCATACTAAGTCGTAGAACAATTTAGTTCAGTCTAGATTAGTGTTAATTTGTGACTATTTTAAAAGATGCATTCATGTCTCCCAGGAATGGCAAGCATTATTCAGTCATTTTGCATCACCTTCTCTGATATTATACCTCTGCTGTGGCCTCCTCACGAGTAGCAAATGCTGTATGCCCTTCCTGCCATAAAAACTCACGAGTGCGTAGAAATGGTTGTGGGTGTTTGAATTCCCAACGCTGTGGATTAAAAAAAAACATAAAAAGTTATGATTGGTTAGGAGGTTGCAAGACTAATATAAATCACTTGAAACCAAAATTGCAGAAAATAATGTGAACTGACAAAAAAAGTAGTGCTGCAGAAACTGTAAGTCTGGCAGCATCTGTAGAGAGAAACTGAGTTAACGCTAACTCCAGTGACCATTCATGTTCTTAAGATCAACCGTTTTCTCCTGAAGGATTGCTGCAAGACCTGCTGTGTTTCACATTTCCAGCATCCATACTTGCATTTATGAACTTGCATAGTACCTTTAATGTAGAAAATAATCATTGATACACAGGGAAGAGAGTAAACAAGGAATAGAGACTGAGTTAGGAGAGTTAATCAAATGTTTGGTAAAAGATAAAAGCGGAGAAGAAGATATGCAGAGAGATAGGTGAATTTATGCATAGAGTTAAAGAAATTAGGAACAAGAAGGCCAAAGTTCTGTTGACAATGATGGATGTGCATAAAGCAAGAGTTGAAGAATTGAGGAGTACAGGAGGGTAAAGTACATAGATGGACGGTGCAGCAAAGGTAATGCTACAAAAGCTACAGAGGAATGCAAGGATTTGGATTTGATCACCATGCTGGGGATGTGAAATCCATGCATGTATGGAAAATACAGATCAAGAATCATTTAGTTACTTGTATTATCCTGCACTTAAACTTCATAAACAAGCCCAAAGTTACAAAAAGTCAGAACAGAAAGCTGGCAAGAAAGGCACTCAAGTAATTGATGTGGATAAATGACAAAGCTAGGCAATAGTTTCACACTTTTAAGATTGAGATAGAGGCAATCATGAAAAGGGTTGTAAAGATTGAAGCAAGTTTGATGGCAGAGAGAATGAAGGGTTTGAAGCTCGGCTATGGATGAACAACGATCAACTCTTACAATCCAAAGCAGAATTTTGAATGGCTTTGAGGAACTACAAATCATACCATGCTCTACCAATAACATTCATTTATACAGCATTTTAAATGTAGTGGTGTGTCCCAACGGACTTCTGAGAAGCATTACTAAACAAGATTAAATCTTCAGCTACATAAATAGATATCAAAAACAGATGACAGAGTGAAGTGGCGTGTTAGGCTGACGGATAGGTCAATAGAGGTGTAGTGGCAGACCTTTAAGGAGGCATTTTGGAATGCACACAATAGGTATATTTCCATGTTCAATTAGAAAAGTTACAGATCAGTATATTATCTAAATGGAAAGAGATTGTGAAGCTTTGAGATGAAAGAGGGTCTCGGTACATGATTAATCAAAATTTACTGTGCAAGTACAGAAAGAAATGTAAATGGCATATTATCATTTAATGTGAGGGGAGTGGAATACAAAAGAAGAGAGTTTATTCTTCAGTTATGACGGATACTGGTGAGAACACAGTTAAGAGTACTGGGCACAGAATAGGCCTATTTATTTAAAAGAGGATGCAAATGGATTGGAAGCAATTTAGAGGTTTATCAGATTAACACCTGGAACAAGTTGAGTATCTTAAAAGGAAAGGGTGGACAGGCTATCCTTCTATCCAATGAAGTTTTGAAAACTAAGAAACAATTCAATTGAAGGATAAAGATCCTGTGGACTCCTGACAGGGTAGGTGGACTGTTTCCTCTTATGAGAGATTCTAGAACAGAGTAACTGGTTTAAAATAAGTGGTCTCCCATTTAAAATGGAGACAAAGCAATTTTGTTTTTTCCTCCCAGAAGGTCATGAGTCTATGGAAATCTTCCTGAAAAGGCACTGGAAACAGAGTCTTTGAATATTTTTAAAGCAGAAGTGACTGGATTCTTGGTAGGCAAGAGAAACAAGAATGTGAAGTTGAGGTTACAATTCAATCAGCCACGACCTTAAAGGGCAGAGCAGACTCGAAGGGCCAAATTGCCTACTCCTGCTCTTAACTTGTATGTTCATATGCTCAAACTACAAAGATTCAGGATATAATCTTAGTCTATGCTAAATTAGATGATCTCATCTGATATATTGCTAGGGGTGCTATTACGGAGCCCTGCCTCCTGACAAACTTTGCAGGATTTAAACTTCTGATTACCTTTGAGCGATAACTGCTGATAAAATGTGGATATCAGGTATAGGTTAAGTCAAGAGAGGTTTATTTTAAATAAATGTATTCATGGGATATGGGTGGCACTGGCTGGGTCAGCATTTATTGCCCATTCCTAGTTGTCCTTGAGGTGGTAGTGGTGGGGAGCTGCTGTTTGTGATAGGGTGACAAAATGACAAATGTCAAAAGGTTTTTGGATGATGCAAACCAAAAGGATTGGGTTAAGTTTTAAAAAAAAAGTATCTGCAGGATGTGTGAATAACAGGAACACTTCTGTCTGAATGCAAAGGAAATGTCAAACCAACAATGAAACAGAAAACAAAATGGAGTAATAGTTACCATATAAGATTTTTGAGCTCCATGCTGGGGTCAGAATATTATAAATATCAAGCTGAAAAATGAGGTGCTTTTGACAAGCTTCAGTGAACTGTCACGAAACTAAAATCTATGCCTTCCCTTTTTTAACATTCTCAGGTTATAAATACCAAACTTAAAAGTTATACATGGTTCTTTCACTTTAGAACTCAAGTTTCTAAGTAACAATAATAATATATTGAGTCTTCATCACAAAGTCGTGGCAGGTGGAGACAGAGGTTCAGACATGCAGTTGCGGAAAAATGGACAGATTGAGACACCACCACATTCAAAGTCTTGCATTGGAAGGGAAGTTTGGAGATTTAGCAGCACTTTGCAAGGACAGAGGGGTTAAGGGTTTTTTTTTGAGGAGATGATAACAGCAGATTTGAGGAGGAAGGGAAACAAGATCCGAGGGGAAAATTCTGACAAACTCAGTCAAAGGAAGGAGGAAAGCATTTAAACAGATGATCTCAATCTTCGTGACAGAGATCCATAAGCTCTTCACACTGTAACACATTGGGCTTTCAACCTTAAGTGTCAGAAAAATTGCTCATTCTTTTTGAGCTTAAAAATCTCCTTTAAAATTCTGAAACAGGATGACAATTCAGTAGAATTATGGAGAGTACCACATTCTACAAAATTGGCTTTCTTTCTTTATCATGCAACTACTCTGCTAAAACCTTCTAAGGTATCTAAAAATTGTGCTAATTTAGGGGATAGATAATGGCAGCACTCTTTCCCTGCCACCAAAGACAAAGACAATCTACTGAAAACATTAGCCTGGACTTAAAACTTAAACAGGGAAAGTCTGGTTGAAATCAATCTAGTTCATGCTCCTCATCAGTCAATATTAATAGCTTCATGTAATTTATGTTGGTTTGATGCATTCTTGTTTGAAAAACTAAATTTTGTTTGATCGCCCACGTGGTAACTGGAAAGTGACAGGGTGAAGCGCTCTGCCGCATCCCCCTTGAATCCAAGATTAGTGTGTGCAAGAAAGTTTCTATTTTTACTAGAAAAAAAATAGTGGATGTGGAGCTCAATAAGCAACTAAGTAGTCCTGTTTCCTCTTTCAAAATCTTACAGCGCAAGCTAAAGAATCAAAATTTTTTTTTTTTTTTTTTTTAAAAAATTCATTCACGAGATGAGGGTGCGCTGGCTAGTCAGCATTTACTGCCCATCCCTAATTGCCCAGAGGGCAGTTAAGAGTCAACCACATTGCTGTGGGTCTGGAGTCACATGTAGGCCAACCAGGGAAGGATGGTAGTTTCCTTCCCTAAAAGACATTAGTGAACCAGATGGGTTTTTCGACAATCAACAATGGATTCATGATCCTCATTAGATTGTTAATTCCAGATATTTTATTGAATTCAAATTACACCATCTGCCATGGCAGGATTTGAACCGGAGTCCCAGAACATTATCTGGGTCTCTGGATTAATAGTCCAGCAATAATACCACTAGGCCATTGCCTCCCCTGAGATGTTCCATCTAAAAATAATGTTTAATTAAATTATGGCTTCACACTCCTCCTGGATGTCAGAGTACTTAGCACAAAATTTTATATAAATCAATGATATCAAGATCCAAGAATAAGAGGTAACCACAGATTTTTGTACTTCAATTTCTAAAGGGTATTTAAGGTGTCACACAAAAAGTGTGACAAAAAGCAAGATAACGGCTTATATAGTCGTGGGTAATATATTAGCAGTGGTGGCAGCATCTGTGAAGGAGAAAACAGAGCTAACGTTTCGGGTCTGAAACGTTAACTCTGTTTTCTCCTTCACAGATGCTGCCAGATCTGCTGAGCTTTTCCAGCAACTTTGTTTTTGTTCCGATTTACAGCATCCGTAGTTCTTTTGGTTTTTATATTAGCAGTGGTAGTGGATGGTTAAATGGAGAGAAAGCAAAGAGTAGGAACAATTGGGGCACTCTCAAGTTAAGAGGGCCAAATGCCACAGCATCAGGGCTGGGGCGTCAGTGACTTACAATTAGTGACTCAGACAAACAGACTGAGGTCAAGGTATCGGAGATTACATATGGTTGCTTATAATATAGAACCTGAGCTTTGCGGAGAAAAGAATTTTGTGGAAGCTTTTCATCTTCCATTTAACAGGATAATTCACAAGAATACCAATGTAAAGAGTAAGCAACATTTATGTTTTGAGTGGAGATCTTATTGGTTGACAAATAGACTCTGATTGGTAGGGATGTTGTCTTTTCATTTATCCCCTTTAATATTAATAGAAAAGTTGATTTCTTTCTTTAACAAAAAAGGGTGAGAAACTTGTAAATGTTGATGTTCAGAGGTACTTGGGCATATTAGTATAAGGAACAAAGTCAGATACAGCCATAGCAAACAATTAGGAAGGCAAATGACAGTTTAGCATTTATTGTAAATGGACTACAGTACAGGGATAAATAAATGCACAGGACTTCGATAACATCACATCTGGAATAGTTTTGGTTCTCCATATTTAAGGAAAGGGTATATTTTTATTGGAGACAGTACAAGAAAGGTTTACTAAATAAGCCCTTGGCAAGACAGGATTTCTTATCATGGGAGGCTGAGTAAACTGTGCCAATATTCTCTGCAGGAGTTTAAAAAAGGTGGAGGGTGATCCTATTGAAACGTACAAGATTCAGAGTAAGCTTGCCTGGCTAAGCACAAAGGCTGCTACCACTAGCCGAGCAATCTAGAACATAGTGGCGGAGTGTCTGGATAAGACCTGATCATTTAGGACAGTGATTTAAAAATAAATTCATTTGGGAATTCCTTGGAAATCTTTGGGATTCTCGACCTCAGATAGTGTGGTTGCTCTAGCACTGAATATATTTAAAACTGAGGCAGAGTTTTGATTCCTCGAGGAAATGAGGGAAAAGGGCAGGTGGCAGGAAAATGGAAATTAACCCAAGATCAGCTATGATCTTAGTGAAAAGCAAACCTGGCTTGACAGGTCTATTCTCACTCCTTTTATGATCTTATGAACAGAAAAAGTGTACTGGAGCATTTTTTGTTTTGGTGGGGAGACTAGATCTGAAATAAAGAGGTATAATTCAGCAATTATAAACCAAAAACTGTACCATCGTCTCTACAAAGGGTGACTTTAAACGTCGTATTAAAATAATGTTGGTAGATTAAGCATACCTCAAAATAACTGCACTATGAAGGTTACTGGCCTCACATTTGAAAAGGTATGATGAGAATTATAAAGAGAAACAGTACCATTAAAGATATTTTGACTTTATGTGAGGGATTCTTAAGTTTTTGAAAAACAAACCTTCATTCTACTGCGAATCAGAGATAGTAGGAACTGCAGATGCTGGAGAATCCGAGACAACAAGGTGCAGGGCTGGATGAACACAGCAGGCCAAGCAGCA